AAAAAAAAAAAAAAGGAAAGTCCTGATATCCACACTCTTCTGTTTTATTTCTAACAACAATAAATACAGACAACATATATTTTTCTTATATACACTTATTATATTAGCAATTATTTTATAGGATCGAGATGCTTTATTACATGGAAATATGGTTAATATGGACTGGCAGAGATGCTGATTTTATTTATTACAGCAAATGGCAAAAGCTTACATTCCAGTAATAGAGAAATAAATTACCCGTATATTTAAGGTAAGAAGCTTTGAACATTATCCCCTTTCCACCAAAAAAAGTGAGAAAAATATTACTGAAGGTATTATGTCCTTATTAGAAAGATGACGGCTGCAAATGCACTCATTCAGTTTGCAGTTATTGTGTTACGCATTATTGCCTTTGAAAGGAAACACAGAGTAGTTGCTATAATTAAAATTCATGGAAAACAAATAATCCCTAAGCACTAAAAGGTGGCTGAGGGACTCTGAATCTATGGTTTCATTTTCAAAAGCTCTCTCTCTCTCTCTCTCTCTCTCTCTCTCTCTCTCTCTCTGTAGTCATTATATACATTTTCCAGAGGTCGGCAATGCACTGTGTAAAGCAACTTCACCCTTGAAAAATGCTTTTAATTAACTTTTCCATATACTAAGAAAATAAAGCTAAAGCTATATACACTGCCTAAGCCAAGTGTCTCACATACTGAACATAACCAAGATACCGCATATTATAAGAAATTAACATATATACATAACTAAAGTACAATGTAGTAATATTCTGAAATGTAAAATCCTAACATAAGTTAAAATAATTTCTTTTGTACACAAGTTGCAAAATATACAGATAAACCCATTCAGTAACAATATAACCATAATAAAAGTTTTTGCTGCCCACATTGGTTCAATGCAATATCAGTTTATTGAACACCTTATTATATGCCAGACATTATGTGGCTGGGACCTAAAGGATGAGGTCACATCCCTATTCCTAAGCATTTCCAGGTAAGTGAGGAAGAAAGACATGTTAAGAAACATTTATATAATGAAATATTAACAGAGGAATTTTCTTGTTACCTTCGGGATCTACAGCATAACTTGTCAAGGCTGTTAGGCCTTCATGGTTGGGGGTGTTTTCAAAGTTAAACAAAATGTGCAGACTACAAATTAGAGAAAAAGAAGGGCTATAAGAATAGCCAATATTTTTGCCCTAGCTCTTCATGGCCAGTGAGGACTTAGGACATAAGAAAACCTGTACTGTAACATCCTGTAACTCAGTGATATCCCAAATTTTCTGATCAAGGAGAATATGGGGCCACAGAAGAAAGTCATCGATGATGGAGAGTGTGCCTAAGGAGAGTCACCTGGAGAGAAAACATTCTCTCAGGCTTTCACAGAGAGCAAATTCCTTAAGCAATGGCTGTGACTCATCCACATGGTTGACACTGACAAAGGATCTACAAACTGTGGTACAGGTTTTCAGGGTAAATGCTGAGAGGATTTGACTGATCTTGTCAGATACAAAAGTTATATTTCTTGTTATATAGGTCTTGCTTTATCTTGGTCTCAACCATCCAGCAGAAAAGTATAAAAATGAGGTATAAAAAGTAAAGCCGTATTAATATGCTGAGTTGTAAAAGGCTCAACTCAACAACTTCTGACAT